ACAGGTGCCTTACTAGTAGTAACAGGTGCCTCGCTAGTAGTAACAAGCGCTAGTAGTAACAGGTGCCTTACTAGTAGTAACAGGTGCCTTTCTAGTAGTAACAGGTGCCTTACTTGTAGTAACAGGTGCCTCGCTAGTAGTAACAAGTGCCTCGCTAGTAGTAACAAAAAGCCAAAGCTATTAGAATTATCACGCTCCCTTAAGTCTGAAGTCGCGTTGGTACTTGAAGGATGCGGCACCAAGCGACAACAATAACAGGCCAGGTCTTCTGCTCAATTTTGCTGGTCAAGCGTTCTGCGTCTGCACCAGACACACTGCCTACTTTCTGACCATCCTGGGAGCAAACATCAAATGGTGTCAGCGTCCTCAAAGTCATTTGAAAGCTATGGAGACTCTGTCCTTGTAAATCTGGTAGAGAGGTACCTCGGTGAGAGATTAGTAGGGACATGCTAAAATCTAAACAGACATGTGATACGGTACCGGATACAAAATGGAAGAAAGACAAAGCACTTGCAAGCTAAGTTTCCCTGGAAATGTATATAATAGTAGGAACCATTTTGATTATCTGAAGGGTTGAAGGAAGGTTCTCTTGCCACTACTTGGTTACTTACTACTTGCTACTTCTTAGCTGTCTGATTAGCTGCTAAGTCTGAGAGTTCTCCCAAACCTATCAGAGCCAAATCAATGGGAAGACAGTCTTCGTTTTAGCGTGTCCCTTCCGAAAAATGTTCTTCCCTTCGAGGCGTCGAGGTGTCGAGGTGCTGTTCTGACTTGTTCTCGCTTCATGATTTGCATTCGAGCTGCGTCCTTCACAAGAAAGAAACATATGTTTATGTCTCCTCTGTGCGTCTCCTTCCAAAGCAGGCTATACAACGATATTGCCCATGTGGTATGCCAGTCACTGACTGTCCTTGTCTCCCATCACCTGTCAAGGCACTGATTGATGCTCATGGCATAGTGGTACAAAGCATGCCTTTTGGAGGCAAAGATATCACACCACCTTTTGTTGAAAACGATTTAAAACACCTCTACTAGCCCACCTTGAGGAAAGACGCCTTTCCCTCAAAGGTCTCGCTAAGCTCCTTCACCTGAGAAGAGCGTGGAAAAGAGAAGGCAAGACGTGGAAAAAGAAAGAAGACAATGCCTTCTCTTGTGCAAAGACATGCTGTTGTGAAAGTGTGTTTTGCTCATATTTTCGGGAGTGGGAGGGCGGTGGTAGTCGAGCAGTAGCTAGTAGTACTTACTTTTAAAGTGCATATCAGCTAGTAGAAGAAGTGTCTACATGCAAGGACGTAGTAGAGCCAGGGTTCCTAGGGTTTGAAGGGAGAATTAGAAGTCTGACCATCCGACCTTTCTTAGCGATTGCCTCCAACCTACTAGCGGTAGCCTCCCCTGACCATCTGAACTTTCTTTCCCTCTATATTCAAAGCTGTTGCGGGAAAGGCTTTGAAAAAACAGACTTCAATAGACATGACAACTTTTTAATCGCTTCGGGAGCCTTGGGATCCATGAGCTTGCAAGGACCACACCTTGGAGGTTACGGCAAAATGGACACACAAAAACAAATATATAATATATCTAGACTTCAGGTTGGAGGCCATCGCTCGTAGGCTGGAGGTCATCGCTCTTAGCTTGGAGGCCATCGCTCGTAAGTTGGAGGCCAACGCTCTTAGGTTCGAGGCCATCGCTAATTGATGGGTATTGAGAACTTGTAGCGTGTGCTGTCCAAACATGTTCCTGCTAAGGTGCCAAGTCGTGGAATAGCCGACAATCAATACATTGGGCTCCTCTGCTGTTTCAGGCACCATTTGACTGCCAAACACGATTCTTTGAGTCCTCACGAGCAGTTCTTGCAATGGCCTCGTTTCATCACAATTGCACACGGTCGAAAATGCAGCATTACAAGAAGCTACTGGGAACAAGTGCATCGCTTCTAGTAACAAGTGCCTTACTAGTAGTAACAAGAAGCTATTAGAAACAAGTGCCTTACTACTAGGAGCAAGAAGCTACTAGGGGCTCCTGGCCTTACTACTAGGAACAAGGAAGCTATTAGAAACAATGCATGGACTGACGTCTTGTATTACAACTGACGTCTATCGTCAGCTGTCACAAAAAAATCTAGTAAGCAAGCCCCTTAGCATTAAAAAAAAGTAAGCAATGTCAGCTGCCCCTTAGCATCGTAGAAAGGAACAGAAAAAGAGTTGCAACAAATGGTAAGGGCTCCTTTGACCAGGCCCTTTAAGCCTTGTTAAAAGGATATTGAAGGTGCCCCTGTTTTTCTTTTTCTCATTTTTGGATAGTTTCCTTCCAAAGTGCAAAGACCTTGGTCAGGGCACCTCATCAAGCTCCTCTGCCGTCCTTGAGTGCTACCACTTTCGATCAAGCCAACCGAAGATCATTCAATTCATGCCCTTCAGGGCCCTTCACAGTCCACCTTTCAATTCTGAAAAAAGATAGGACGACTAGCTCTCATGGCGTGGAATTGTCTCAAAGGGACTGTGATTTCATTAGCACAAAATGAATTACATCATGTAAGGAATCGACGTTACGTCCAACACAGCAGCTCTGGCCACTGTGGTGCGCCCAGCCTGCAAAAAATCAAATGTTCTTACTTCTTACTGTTTCTTGAAGCAAACACTTGAATGCACAACCCAGATTCAAATTACAAAACCAATTTAGTGGGAATACAGGAGAAGTACAATGGAAAATTGAAGAAACGAAAGAAACGTTTCGTCCAAGGCGTGGGGGAGGTCAAAACGTTGGAACCTTGGGTTCCATTTTTGGTTATTCTGACTAACACACGACGAAAATTGACGGGTACGGTAAACAAATAAGTAAAACCTCATTGTTGATGGTGATCTTATTGAATTCGCATTGGGTTCCGGTGGAACAACCCACCATTCTACCGGCCTGGCCCCATCCTTGGTTTCGGCTGGGCGTGAAAGTAAGACCTCGCACGCAGCATCATGCTAATGTTTTTCGACAAAAAACACAGAATCTGTGGAACAAACAGTTCAGGATTGTCACACTCTTGACTTCTTCCTCTGGGATTCTTCACCTTTGCTTCCATCTAAGGACTCTGACGACTCTGTGGTGGCAGGACCTCTGATCACATGATAGAACTGTGGACGGGTTGAATTCAGATTTCAGGTAAGGACTCATTGAAAGTGAAACGCCAGCAATTCACGAAAAATCACGAGTGCTGCGCCAGTTGAATGGAAGAAAGCGGCTGCTCTCTCGTTCTCATGTGGAAAAATATATCGAAAATGCAAACAATGCCCACCTGAATGACTGCAATCGCCAGGACTAGAAAGGACCGTAGCCGCGATCCTGCTCTCCAGTGAGCACAAAATACTTTGTTGAAAAACACCGCGCAGGCAAAGAATGCGTTGTGCACACCTCGAGGCGCCATCCTTGCAACCCAATCTATGGCTAGCAATCAGCTAGGCCAAAATAGCGGCGTCAAACTTCACGATTTAGCGTTGACGCCAGACTCCACTGAATCCCCCAATGACTGCATGAGCAAGTTCAAACTAGCCGTGCACCCAGTCGCCTGAGATTAAACACGGTTACGAATCCCAACAGAAAAAAGGGAATGTCACAATTTGACCATTTGCGCAAAATTGGGTTCTGGGTAGCTGTCTGCGCGATAATTTCAAGCAATCACCTGCTGACAACACCAAAAACATGTTGTTGGCACACTCTTCCTCCTCGTCGAGGACGGTGACCGGTTGGAACTTGGGCGGCGCCAAAGAGTTTGGAATGGCAATGTTGCATACCCTCATTCGAGTCGAGGGTTTGCCATTAGCTTCCAAGCGGCGCATTGCTATGTAGTTGCATTTACACAACAGGTCTTGCTCTGACGTGGAAAGTTCGAGCGCTGACATTGGAAAATTTCCGCAAATCTCCAGACTTGCGCTGGCCGCTGAGACTGTCAGCCGCAAACAGGGCTGCGACCCAAGCCACATTGAAGCTCCGAAACCGAACATCTGAGCTTTAAGCTTGAGGGTATGGTCAAGCTGAAAAGCAGCGCGGGGCCCACGTCGGTGGTGACATTGGTGGGCATGGCAATGGGGCCCCCTCGCGGTATTCTTTCACTCTGCTAAGCATTTCCTGGCCACGAAAGGGCGCTCTTTCGGCGCAAGCCCTCAAAGAGTCCGTCAACTAGCTTGCAGACACTCCGCAAACCCAGGAGAAACCATCAAATCTCGCCCAATTTCTGCCTGCGCACTTTGAGCGCCCCTTCTTCGGGCTCGTCGCTGTCATCGTTGTTGTTGTCCATCAGAACTTCGGCATCACAGACACCCCGCAAAGGATATAATTAGCTCGAAGGCTGCGCGGCTTGCAGCTGAGAACCAATGCCGGGCTGTGTTTGCGACTGGCCGGGCAAACGCCTGCCCAACAACACACGCGACAGCACCCTTTCACGGAAGCCATGCTCTTCGGCAAGCTCTTGGGACAACTTGCCGGACAGCTCGGCAATCACTGTTGTGGACTGTAGGTAGAGTGCAGCTCAGCTCTATCGGCCAGACGTTACCTTTAGAATGAGCCGGTGTGTGAGGCTGATGGCAACCAAAGGGCACTGCAAGCCCCTTGATTCTTCCTGCAAGGCTTAAGCACTTTCATCGTCGTGCAGCTGGAGGCCAACATGAGGGGTGGGAAGTCTTTTTTGCTGAGCCACGAAGAGTCAGAGGGCCTGCTCCAGCATCTGTCAATCCAGGACTGAAGCTGTGCCCAACATTGGCTCCGACAGCAGGTGGCTTGAGATACGCTCCGCCCACACAATCAAATTGGGTTCCATCACCTGTCACTACGAACCAACTGGATGATGTTTCGTTTCCGCAATGAGCGAAGTCGTGAGTTGGCGTGGACGAAATGAAGTTGCAGGGGACGGAGAATAAGCAACTGGTGTGCCATCACTGTCCACACGGCTGGACCCTTTCAAAATCACCTTGTAGTGAAGGGTGTGGCGTGCACTGCATCACACCATCACAGGTGAGCCTCTGGTAGTTGGGGAAAGACCTCTGACAGTTCTGACAGTTCTGGGTGCTTTTGGATGAAGTGAAAAGAATCCAAGAGTTCAAGCCATTCCAAGTCCGTGTCTTTTGCTCAAGCCAGCAGCATGACAGTCTTTTGGTCAGGGATCATGAGTGGCTTGGCAGTTCAAGAGAAAATGAAAGAGCTTAATAACAACATGAAAAGAGATGTCTTTCAGAAATGTGTCGGTGAAGAGGATTGTACAAACATTGTGGACAGCTGGAAACTGTGTCGCATATATAGCAGCGCAGCCAGTGGAATTTCAATGCGCACGGGATCACTAGAGTGATCACAGCGGCGAAGCACACGGCAAGGGATTTGAACCCTGGCAAATCTGCAGTGGCACAACGTCAGCCGCAGAATCGAATCAAAACACCATGAAAGAATCGACCAACATAAGAAATTGTGAACATAATATCAATGTAGAGGACAAAGTCATGATTCAAAAGTTCCCATAGTCACTATAGAAAGTGATGGAATTGGCTCCATGGTACACACCATCTGGTCTTCCAAGTTCCAACAGCCCATGTTTGTGTCTGAAGTCCAAAGGCTTGCACGATGATGGCCCATGATTCTCATTAGTATTGCCTACTTGCTCGCCAAAGAACGGCTGTTTACTGTTCTGCCACTGTGAAATCAAATCACGCAATTTGGCCAACCCTGTCAGACCCACCGTAAAGGCGACACACCTCAAAACAAAGACAGTTAGAAAAACAGCTAGAACAAGTTGGAAAACAAGTCTGAACTAGCAAGAACATGAAAAGAATATAAAACTATGAAGCATCTGCTCACCGGAGGCACCGGTGTGAGGTTGAACTTGGAATCAAATCCGCAGGGCTTCAATTCCCTCCAAGACTTTGGGAAACGATGGCCGCTCCGAGGGATCTTGAGCCCAGCACGCCTCGACGGGGGATAGGCTGTGACGGGCTCAAAGAAAAGAGTTCCTAGTAGCGTCCGATCGCTCCTAGTAGCGATGCCCTTTGCTCCTAGTAGCTTCTTGTTACTAGTAGTAAGGCACTTGTTACTAGAAGCGATGCACTTGTTTCTAGTAGCGATGCCCTTTGCTCCGTTCGTAGCGTCCTAGAGTTCCTTCACAGTCCTTCACAGTCCATGACCCAAGGCTTTCCTTGGCTACTTGGGACTTGTCTGTCAATAAGGAAAGGATATGAAATAAGGAAACGGTCTGAGAAAGAAATAAGACAAATAAACGAATCCAAAGAACGACAAAAGAATGTCCAAGGGTTTCATGGTCCGAAGAACACGAAAAAGAAAAGGAAATGGGCCGCGGTGTGAAAAAGATGTGTTTAGTACCAAAAAACAATGAATAAATAAAGTTGATGTAGAAAGCAAGTAGACAGCAAGTTGAATAAATAAACTTTAGACAGCAAGTAGAAAAGTGTTGATGTAAGGACCGACATGACAAACAAAATGCCTGAGTCTAGCCAAACACAGCAGGTTCATGGCGGGTGAACTCACTGAGATCATCTTGGATATCGTTGCCCTCATGCCCCTAGTAGCGTCCTTTGCTCCTAGTAGCGATGCCCTTTGCTCCTGGTAGCGTCCTTGCTCCTAGTAGTAAGGCCAGGAGCCCCTAGTAGCGTCCTTGCTCCTAGTAGTAAGGCCAGGAGCCCCTAAAGGCCCTAGTAGCGTCCTTGCCCCCTCTCTCGTGCTCTCTGCCTTCATGATTTTGATCAATTCCACTGGACAGTCTGGTGGCACCGCATCCATGTCAGGGCGAAGGCCGGCGACAGTGTATTTTCCGACATCTGTCGGTTCCTACAATGCAACAGCTGAATCTCTGGTCATTTTTCTACTAATGGCTTCTTGTTACTACCAGTAAGGCACTTGTTACTAGAAGCGATGCACTTGTTGCTAATAGCTTCTTGCTACTAGTAGCTTTTCTAGTTGACCATCGCTACTAGTGTACTAGGTTGGAGGCCATCGCTCTTAGGTTAGAGGCCTTAGGCAGAACCAGGCCAACACTTCGAAGCTCCTCATCCTCGAAAGGGACTTCGCGGCAAATAATTTCATAGATGACCATAGCATAGGAAAACACATCTACCTGTTCGACAGGACTTTGAAGTTCCGACATGCTTTTTCTTGATCTTCTAGGTTGGTATTGAGTTTCCGTACTAGTTGCATCACATTGCCTTTTATTCAAACCCTTTGATCACATTGCCTTCTCATCATAGGTTGAGCCCGCCCACATCTCTGGGGCCATCCAATGCTTGGTGCCTGCCTGGAGCTGAAATCATTCCACTCCAATCGCACAGTGCACATGCTGGATCCAATATACTAGCAATGGCCTCCAACCTAAGAGCAATATACTCCACCTTAGCAATTATGCTTTTGTCAACATCTTTCGGTATCCGAGAACTGTTGCACCTGATTCGTCATCTGCCCCCAAGAGCCCGCTTGCTCCTGGAACTTGGCGACACCGAAGTCGCAAACTTTGATCAAAGGCAAATCCGTCGGACCTGCAACAATTGGAGAAGCAAGTAACAAAGGGCGCTACTAGGAGCAAAGGGCATCGCTACTAGGAGCAAAGGACGCTACTAGGGGCTCCTGGCCTTACTACTAGGAGCAAGAATGCTCCTAGTAGCGTCCTTGCTCCTAGTAGCGATGCCAGGAGCCCCTAGTAGCGTCCTTGCTCCTACTGATTGGATTTCACCAGCTGATAGCTATCCAATACACTGAAGTGGGTTCAATGTGCATCCTGCCTCTGACCGGTTTGTCAAGCAAAAGGTTCAGAGATTTTAAATCTCTGTGGATGATCATTGGGTTAAAGGTATGCAAATAGCACATGGCCCTGGCCACATCTCGGCACATTTTGATCTGCTGTGAGTAGACCTCAGAGCCAAATATGTCCAAATCCCTTCGGCTCTGTGTTACGCCAAAACTGAACAAGCACTTCCCCGGAGAAGCTCTTAAAGAAGGATTCCAGAAGGATCCTTTGCACTAGTAAGGGCTCATGTCCAAGAATAACTCAAGCTATCCATAGGTTGGAGGCCGTTGCTCTTAGGTTGAAGGCCATCGCTGGTAGGTTCGTCATTGTTATGATCTTCCTCTTTCGACGTCCAGGTCTTCTCAAGTCTCGTCTCCCCTTGTGACTAAGTGGCCAGGTCGATGTGTGGTGAGCCGTGGAGCAGCTCGAAGGCTGCGCCACCACCGCAGAACTCCGTGACAATGCGCAGCGGCGGAGAATCCAGGCACACGCCGTACAACTGGACCTCACGTACGACAGTACTTGACACTACGACGCGGTTTTTTGAGACAAAAGAAATGCGAAACCAAAAAAACGGAACGCGGAAGCTGCTAGTAACAAGTGCCACGCAATTTGGAACAAGTGCATCGCTACTAGGAACAAGTGCCTTACTAGTAGAAACAAGAAGCTAGTGACAAGTCTGTCTAGTGAGAG